TATTATTCGTGACTGGGATGGATGACTTTGATTTCGTTGTGTTATAGAAGCTATTTGGCTTAATACTGGGAAGATTGCCACTTTCAGAAGGTTCCACAGTTTCAAACAATGAAAAGAATATTACACTGTTATGGTATTATTATCTTATTACAATATGAGAATAAAAAAAATGATCAGTTCGCTTAATTAGTAAAGATTTTAGAAACATCATATGTACAAACCAAGGTTCAAGCATACATGACAATGAGTATTTGGAAGCAGTATTGTAAATGGTTATATACAACTGAGGAGTGGTTTTATCAAAGAAGATACTAACCGAATAGTGTGGTAGCATTTTGAACACTTTTGTGATGTATAAAAGCCAACAGAACACATCATATATCAATGAATTTGCCGAGATAATCAACACTTCTTGCAGTTAGTAATCAAACCGGTTCATAAACACCATTTCCCATGAAACACTTAACTTCTAATTTAGAAGTAGTGTCCATCATGGAGTGACATCAGTTAGGGAACCATTGGGAATCTAGGAGCATTAGATGGCTGTTTCGTCCTAGTATGAGACTCCTCAGAAGCAAACACCCACGACCCGGCTTGGGGTCGAACTCAGGCCTTTACGTTTCACAGTGAACACGTTAACCATTCAGTCACTGGGTGGTCGGTTTTTCACTGGTTCACAATTTCTAACTTCTGTCAATTCACTACATAGCGCCACTGTCACCCAACGTCTTCCCCTTCAGTTAGCATCCACTTCACTTCCGACTGGTTGCCCCCCCAGGTCACGGCCTCTCATTAGAACTTGCTGATATCCATCTGGAAGAAAGTCACTAATGAACACTATACAGTAATGTGTTTTCGAGATTTTCAACGGTTACCTTACTGATGTCAGTCCATGATGAATACTACTTCTAAATTAAAAATCCCTGTTCGTCTCAAAAATGCTTAATTTCTAAGATTATGTCACCTGAATCAAATCGTGAGCTAACAGAAGTTGGAAATATGGAGCATTGGATCCTGACCCAGTGCCTAGCTCAATGATAATGCGCTGGCCGTAGAACCTGAAGGTCGCGGGTTCGATCCCTGCTGGTGTGAGGTCGTGGGTGAGCACTGCTGAGGAGTCCCATACTAGTTGGACGAAACAGCTGTCCAGTGCTCCCAGGTTTCCTTTGTTCCTACAACTGATGTCAGTCAGTCTACGATGAATAACAACTTGAATCAAAATCATCTGGGTTTGTTTAAGGTGTTGCAAATTACATGGTTTCAACGGAAAAGACAATACAAATCGTCTAAGAATATTCTATGGACTGTTAGCAGAGTATTACCATCGCCTTTGTAAACATGATGCGAAGTGCTTCAAGAACAGCACTGTCGATCAAAATAGATAAAACTCTTTGAAGCAGTCTACTTGAAGTCTAAGACTCTTGAACGGCCTCCCCCCCCCTGGGAACTACAAGTTATATGATGAATTGTCTTCGTTTTTAATATTTTCATTGTCAAACATATCAAATCTGTCACAAGAAGATACCAAAAGGTATGTAATGAAGAGGTGTTGCGTGTACACTTATCAGGTTTCTTTAAACATTCCATTGTTAGACTGAAATCTCACAACAAAAATTGTCATAAAGGTCAAACATTACTAGGAAGTCATTAAAAATTAACACTTTATCACTCATGATAATGGAAGGACTAATACAACTAACGTTTTCCAATTATGTAATCGTAAAGGCTGAGCATGATTCTTATGGAAATCCTAGTCTTCGTTCCATTAGAATTTGATGTTGCTCTAATTATCTAACTATACACCATACTAAATTACATGATAAATATCAATCGAAAAATCTTATCACCATTAGAAGACAAACTCTGTCATCTTACCACCTCGGTGTGCTTCTATCAGTCCGCCTGATCTCGTTGGGTAGAGTACATCGGTTGCAACCAAGGAGTGCTTTCTACACACAGAGGACAATAGATTTCAAATTAATGTTGTAATAGTGAACAAAATCCTATTAAAAGTTAGATTCAGTAACATTTGATTGATTTCCATCACTCATCGAACCCAGACAATGACTTTAAGATCATTTATGAAATTCGCCTAAACCTGGTACGTCTTCTTCATTTCTAACTCTTTAAGACACAGAAGGCCTTAGCTATTCATGAATAGTAGCCTGATCTTTGTATATAAAAGAAGTATGTACAGTCAGTGTTTTTACCGTGGTCATAATAACTAATCTTTGTATCCTACCTTCATAACTAGTATTGCTACTGTAATAACGGTCACTTCGAATAGCTTGCGTTATCTTGGTTGCATTGTGTTTTCTGAGCTGCGTTGTTTAATTGCGAAGCTTTCATCGTCTTTCTCCTGGACGACATCATCAACACTAACTTCAGTATGAAGTGACTTGTCACTATGTCTCCCTCAGTGATTTAGTGGCTTGCCCTGACGATGTGGTCTGTGATTGGTTGTTCCCTTCGATTGTTGTGTCATTGATTGTGTAAACTTTCCTGTTGGCTGTTCTTCTGCTTGACCTCTGACCTTTCTATCTTTTGTCATTTTTCTTATTGGTTGGGAGATTGGGTATATGTCTATACATCTGTTGATTGCTGACTGACTGACCCGAATGCCAAGCTTCTAGGGATTCTCTGATATTCTTTGTGTTTCCCCTGTCCAAAATTTCTACATTATCGAAATTGAATTCATTTCCATAATTATCCACGTGCATTGAAATGTGTGACGAAATATCGTGGCGTTTAATGGCCAATCGGTGCTCATGTAGACGAAGGTGAAGAGGGCGGTCGCTTTGTCTAATGCAGTGCTGACTACAGTTACTGCAGCTGATTTTGTAAATGATAGTTGGTTTGTCTTCTTTGCTTGTTGCATCCTTTAGTTTCCATTATTTCAGTTTGCATTATGGCTTTACTGAGTCGTTATAGCCTTTTCAGAAAAAAAATTGGATAGTCCCTTACGAGCGTTATTAGTTGATAATAATGTATCGTATATCGAAAATCTGACTGACAATCTCATCGCTAAAGTTTCTCTTTACAAGAAATATGCCGATGACATCGTACCAGCTGCTATCAGCTTCCATTTTAAGAAGGAGAATAATCACCAATTGCCATTCCCAGACGTAATCCTAAGTCGCCAAGAAGACAGTTCAGTAAGATGGCCTGCATACTGAAAGTCTAAGTGGACAAGACAATACCTGGATTTTCACAGTTTTGTCTAATACAATGCAATCGAAAATCAGTAAAGTGTGTGTTAAATAAGATCTATCGTATCAGTACATCAGATAAAATAGATTATATATTATATTATTATTTGTCCCTTGGGTTCCTAATGGAACATAGGGCCTCAATAGCACGTATCCATTGCACTCGGTTCATTGCAGTCTTTTCAGCCTGGCACCGTGATAGTCCTCATAAAATCTCCTCCATGTCACCCTCGGATATCCTCGCCCAACTCGTCTTTTCCCATCTGGGTTACACTCAATGGCCAGGCATGTGGTGTCCCAGAATGGTCTTCTCAGTGCATACACAGTCTTTCTTCACTCTCATCCACCGCATATTTGTTGAGCGATAGGTTCTTGCTTTGTTGGTTCGTTGACAGTCAGCCAGTCAGAGTTCCTTCTTGCTTATTCCCATTATTCTGGCCATCTCAGCTTCAGTATCAAGCCAGCGTAGGCAGCAGCTGTTGATGAATGTCTGTAGTTTGTTGGAAGTGCTTTTCGTGACGCGCCAACTCTCTGAATGAACCATATAGCAACACTGATTTGACTAACATTGGTGTTGAAAATCTGGATGTTATTCACGATTTATGCTGAGTGAAGTGCAGTGCAGGAGATCTCCTCACTGGTTTCAGGTTAATCAACGCCTGCCTGTCTTGCTGTCTTCGACATCTTCATCTGTGCCAACTGTAGTTGAAACGATGCTGCCTAGATAGGTAGATGAAAGAGGCTGCTTCCTTTAAGTTCGAGGTGATAGTCATTAACAAACTGAAACCACCGTTTTGTGTACAAAAACAATTTGTTCCTACACTACATCTACTTTTTGGTAAGGTAAATGTGTGATCAGATTGTTGAAAATCTATATTGCACAAATAAACATCATACATTGTTAAGATAAACTTCTTCATCTACTTACACCATCTTAATTCATAAAAGTGTCCTGGATTCCTCTGCTAGCTAAAACCAATCAGATTATCATAATCAACATTCAGGCTATATTAAGGCATCCGTATAGGAGCCCATATGCCAATAGAGGTTGAACAATTCGATTCAACATAAGGAACAACAGAGAATAACAAGTATGTCAATAAATAGTAATAAGTACCACCCGTTGTACAAGAAGTGGGTATCGTTCCTCCATGGCATGGTGGATAACGCCTTGTCATTTGAAGCGGTGTGTACGGAATTGGAGTCACTCTGCGCTTAGGTGCACATGCATCCAGTTGACGAGTGAGTCGGAAATAGGACGAAAAGCGCATTGTGGATTCTCCTGCTACTTACAACCAACCATATTATCATAAAGGGACTAGTTGTTTCAGATTTTAATCCTATTATGTAGTATTTCATTGATATACCGCTTTAATCGATTGTATCCTTCTTTCGACGTTATATACATTCTATGAATGACTGTATATAATAATTTGACTCTCTGAGACAGTTGTAGTTTCACAATTTTGCATTCTTGATGAGCTCCAGGAAGATTTTGACCACTGACAATCGGTGCTCTACCAAAAGAACCACCAAATCGGACTACTGATAAGATTTTTTTTAGCAAAGGATAGATTAATGACTCCGTCACCGTGCTTAAATGTTCGTGTTACTATTTCGTATATTAAGTTTTCCATTATTTGATTAAAGTAATCTCTATATATTTATTTATTTACTTATTTAGTATTCATGAAATCTACAGAATACATATATGATCAATTCACTATTTGAATAACCCTCCACAAATAATTGGTATTGATTAAACAAGTTTCAATGTTCAAGAGGTGATTAATGTCAAAGTCAGCTAAACAACATTGGCGTTATCGGGCTAATCCATCATTCTATATGATAACAAATGAAGAAGAAGATAAACAATTACAAGGAACAAAAACAGAACAAGAGAAAATTGTTTCACATTCCCTGAATACACTTGAACAAACCATAAAACAAGATAAAGAAATGAATCCACAAAGTAGGTTAAAAACACTTCATACATGGTTACTTTTGAAAAAAATTTGTTTAAATATTAAATGTAAACATTTCGATGAAATAAATTGCAGTTATAATGAATAGTGACCAGCAATGGAATCCAGGATGCGTATTTCTTCCCATTTAGGATTCATCAGCTGGACGTATCAACCTCCTAGTCAGTGATATTGTTCCCACCGGGATCTGAACTCGGGACCGGTGACTCCAAATGCCAGAGGGTTATCCACTAGACTACCGAGCCACAACAGCCACTTCTTGTGTGACACATAGTTTTAGTATTGTTGCATTTGAAGTCATAGGTCCCGAGTTCGAATCCCGGTAGGAATAATATCACTGACTGGGAGGCCGGTATATCCAGCTGATGAGTCCTAAATGGGAAGAAATGCGTATCCTCTATCCCACTGCTAGCTACCATCCATCATTAATATATATATATATATATATATATATATATATATATAATTAAAACACAGGCAATATCGTGGCATTCATGCAGAAGCCTCTATTGCCAATAGAGACCGATCAATTTGGTCCAATCAACGACAGTATAATACAAGCAATAATACTGAAATAAATTGTATCAATTGAATATCAAACTGCCTAAAACCAAAGAACTCAAATAATAATGTAGGTGTATTCCAAGGAACTGAATTGGCAGTAGTAACATGCACCAAATAAAACTGCACAATGTAAACACTGATTAATCATTGGAAAGCAATGAATTGAATCTTGCCTCATTTTGAGTGCTGAGTGGATCGGATTGATCACTTTGTAATATGACTACTGAGATAGGAGGCTCAGCATCATGATGCATCTGGATTGATGTTTGTTTGTTTTAGATAATCGACAGGAAGTTCTGTTCAACCTCAAAATGCACTGAACAAATTACAATACTTCAGGTTGTTAGTCGTCATGGACTGATATTATTTGCAAGGACATTAGAAACTTGGAAGCACTAGACACCTGTTTCGCTCTAGTATGAGATTCCTCAGTATTGCGCACCCAACACTTCGTCCTTCAGGTGTTGAACCCACGACCTTCAGTTTCGTTGGCCAGCACTTGACCATTGATCTTCTGGGTCGGAATCTAATAGTCCATATTTTTACTATCCCCGTCAGTTCACGATAGAGCGTCACCTACATTCTTTTTCGTGAAGTTTTTTCTGAGATTTTATTTCTTTCTGTTTTATTTAGCTAGCTAGAAAATTGGTTTAAAACTGTTTCGCCTGAGTAGTTGCTCTGTTTTTATAATATTAAACAGTTCTTTCATTTATTGAATAGATCCATATTGAATTAAACAGGATTATTTTAATGTTACAGCAAAAGCAAAACATTTTTTTTCAGCTGGCCTGTTTTTATAAAAGTAATATCTGTCTTGTGATAGTCAGTGCTTATCCCTAAAGTAAACGCTTTCTTATACATTGATGATTAAAATTACGCGTTTTTCGCTCTCTGAAATAAGTACGAAGAAGCTAGGTGAATACATTTTGCTTAGCCAGTTATATCTAAATATGGGCTGACCACTTCAAAAAGCCCTTGAATCGACCACCACATGCAACTCATACAGAAATACCACCTGCAGCCACAGAACTACAAGTAAACACAAACCCTCCAGCTAAATTTGAAGTCGTGAATGCCATGAAGGTACTGAAATGCGGGAAAGCAGCAGGACAAGTTGGAAACCTGCCAGAAGCACTGAGAACAGATGCAGAGACAACAGCGGACATGCTAACATCACTATTGCAGAAGGTCTGGAAGGAAGGGAAGGTACCTGCAGATTGGAAGAAGGGATACCTTGTGAAGCTTCCGAAAAAAGGCGACCTAAGTCTTTGCAAGAATGGGCACGGAGTCACACTCCTGTCCATCCAAAGCAAAGTATTAAACCGCATCATCTTGGAGAGACTAAAGGATGCGCTGAATTCAAAACTACGGCAGAAACAGGGTGACTGGATTCAGGAAGTACAAATCATGTGCGGACCAAATTGCAACGCTTCGCATCATCATAGAACAGAGTATAGAATGGCAGTCAACACTCCAACTCAACTTCACCCACTTTGAAAAAGCCTTCGAAAGCGTCGACCGACAAGTAATTTGGAAACTGCTTCAACACTACGGAATACCACAAACCTTTATCAGCCTCATTCAAAAACTATATGGAAACGCCACATGACAAGGAGTTCACAATGGAAAGCTCAGTGATGCTTCTGAAGTGAAGACAGGAAGGACTAAGACAAGGCTGTCAACTATCACTCATGATCTTCCTGATTGTGACCAAATGGATCATGCAGCAGACAACAGTGAGAAGCGAGAGAAGGGGGATACGCTGGACTGCGGAAAAGAACCTAGAAGATCTGGATTTCGTCAGTGATGACCTGTGTCTGATGTCACACAAACGCAAAGGTGTACAGGCGATAACTAACAAATTGACAGAAGAGGCAGAGCAGGGCAGTGAAGGGAGATGGCATTTCAAGTGAATGTAGAGAAGACAGAGGTGATGAAAATACCCAACAAACGCTATCACCACCAACAACAACAACAAGCTCCAATCACCATCAATGGGAGGAACTTCAAGGAAGTAGTCTCTTTCACATATCTAGGTAGCACTATCTCAACTACAAGAGGCACAGGCACAGACGAGGATGTCAAAGCCAACCAGGATTGAAAAGGCAGCAAGACAGGCAGATGTTGATTAACCTGAAACCAGTGTAAAGATATTCTCCACTGCACTGCACTTCACTCAGCATAAAGCGTGAACAGCATCTGGATTTCCAACACCAATGTCGGTCAAGTCAGTGCTTCTGTATGGCTCAACGACGTGACGCATTATGAAAGGCATTTCCAACAAACTACAGACATTCATCAACAACTGCCGCATACGCAAGCTGGTTACTGAAGCTCAGATGGATGGCCAGAAATAATAAGCAAGAAGGAACTCTGACTGGCTGACTGTCAACGAACCAACAAAGCAAGAAGCTATCGCCCAACAAATGTGCAGCAGAAGGAAGTGGAGATGGATTGGACTGGGCATACAGTGAGAAGGCCGACTGGAGATATCACGCACCAGGCCTGGCCTTCGAGTGGAACCCATATTGGAGGTGACGAGTTGTTCATCCGAGGGTGACATGGAGGAGATCGTGCTAGTAGGGCTGTCATGGAGACAGGTTCAAAAGATTGCGGAGGACAGAGTGGAATGGAGACCTGCTACTGAAGGTGTATGTTCCATTAGGAATCCAAAGGACAAATAATAATAATAATAATAAAATTAGAACAAGACATATTTAAGTGAACAATATTGTTTTCAATTAGATCCTCTTCAGGCTCTACTTAAAGATAAATAGCTTAATATATATACATAAAGTTAAACCGATGGTGTTGATTTGTTGGTGAATGTGATAAATGATGGCTAGCAGTGAAATCGAACATGACGTCCGTTTCGTCCTACTGGGGACTCATCAGCTGGATGTACCAGCCTCCCATTGAACGATGTTGTCCCCACCGGGACTGATCGTTTCCATTACCACAGTGTTATCCACTAAACCATAGACGCACGACAGTCACTTCTTGTGTGACTGGTATAGTTTTGATGTTGTTGTTAGTATTATCCTGTCGTTGATTGAATGGAGATGATCAGTCTGTATTGGCAAATGGATTCCTGTGTTGATACCTTGATATTGCCTGTGTTTTCATTATCAACTGATGATGGACAGTGGCCAGCAGTGGAATTCAGTACGTCACTATCTATAGTTAATATATTATTACAACACAGGCAATATCGAGGCATCGCCTCACAAGCCTATATACCAATAGAGTCTGATGAATTCGGTCCAATCAACGATGGGATAATACAAGCAACAACAGTAATGTGACAAATGTTTGAAAGAAAACGATGGTGGTAATGATACGACTAATCAGAGGGATAACGTTGACTAAAGTATATGCAATACTGATGATGAAAGTGGGTCGAAATCTTGAGAAAATGAAAGTTATGTAATGTTGAAGGATGAGGTAAGTGGATAAACACACAAGTGTAAACAAATATAACATGTATATGCAAGGGGTGAAGAATAAGTAAGGGGTAGTAAAAAAACTCAATAATAAATTTATTAAATGAGTAGTCCGTGATGAAGTAAGAGATATAAGAGGGATGTAAAATCTTCTTCTGGATACAAAGACTCGAATTATCAGCTGTAATTCCCACAGCTTCTGCTACATAATGCAGCTGACGAGTTCCAATACCTTTCGAAAGATGAGGTGGTATGCAATGAACAATTGTGAAGGCATTGTTCCTGCCTACCAAGTGACGAATATCAACGAGGTGAGATAAAACCCAACTACTGATAGATTTTATGTGTCACTTTCTTAACCAGGAACGTGGATGATGTGTAACACGTCAGTTGATTTGTCTAGTAGTACACCCTATTTGGCCTTCCTCACAGGAGCAGATAAACTCGTAAGTACACATACAAATGCCGAAACTACATACCTGATCTTTCATCTGAGCAAGAACAATTGGTGGACTGGAAAATGATAGACAGATGGATGTAGCCTAGGAGGTCTTCTTCATTGCTCTAGACAGTCTCCAATATAAAACTTTTCCAACTACATCTCCATTAAATCATAACTTCATGTGTCCATATGTCTTTTTATGAAACTGTTAGAGTAGCCTATTTCGACTAAATGCATTCAGTTTAACTTCTTCTCACTCAAGAAATCATAACTACATAGGTTGGACAGTGGATTATAAAAACTAGCTAAGGTGGGTGATATTATGACTTTAATTCAATTATGACAAGCATTTGAAGTCAGATCACTAAACATGAAATTTATCATTGGTCTACTAACTTTGAAGTGATAGTTGGGAAGAGAAGGCCCTTCAAACGTTTAGTCCCATTGAAAAGATTAACAGAACTGTAATGGGGACACATCATTAGGATGTCGGCATATATAAATTCAGTAGTGAATGGAATCCAATTAACCTGTGACT